AAGTACCGTAAACGTACGTACGGTTACTACTTTTCGTCCTACTAGACGTTGTACATATGTTTCTATATATATATATATATATATATATATATATATATATAGATGGAAAAGTTCATATAAGGTTGCAACCTTAAAATGTAGAATTACATATGCACATTAAAAATCTATCGGAAAGGTTATTTTAATGTTGAAAACCCCTCTATTTGATCAGCTTGACATCGAGATATGAATGTAAAAAAAAAAAAAAAAAATTTGAGTCTCAGAAATAGTACATCTTGTAACACATTATCTAGGCCGTCTATTTTGAAGATTTTCATATTTTTATAGATCTCCTTGATTTTAATCATGTTTGGAGTTTAAAATTTTCTAATTAAATACGAAAATAGATTTTAAGATAATCTTAAGAATTTTTTAGAACAAAATTACATGTTATGATAAAATTTGGAGGTGTGCCTTAATTGGATTATTTAAGGTTGCAACTTTATAGAAAACGCACCCATATATATATAAAAGATGGAAAACAACTGAGCTACTACTTCCTCCAAAACACCGAACTTCACTAAGCTATTTTGCTGCAAAGTAAAATTCGGGAATCAGGGTCATTAGAAGTGAGCGATATGGATATATTTTTTTGAAGCGTTTTTTTTTTTTATGTTTGGCCTTTTCCAATAAACTTATCTTTAAAATTCGAAATTAGGATTGTTGAAATCAATGCTATCAGTAATGGAGACAGAGGTCATGTCAAGTCAAATTCAGTTAAATGGCTTGGATCGGATTTTAAACTAAGCAAAGTATGAAGAATAGTTTAAAAGTATAAATTATATTACAAAAGAAGTAAATAAAATTTGTTTGGACAATCTAATTAGTCAAAACGAATTGGTAGGATTATCAAAGATTGCTTTTGGCTGATTTTTTATAAAACCTGGATTTTACTTTGCGCAGGACCTACTAAGGCCCTGGCATGTTATAAATATCCACAGATTGTGTGTATGTGTATGTTTTGAATTTCGTAGTTATCTCAATATATCATTTTTAAAACATCTATTTAAATATCCAAGGACATTTACTTCTGTCAGGGATTTTTCATTATGACTTTTTGCTAATGGGTACTTACTTTGCGCGAAGACGAGCGTCGAGAAGGAGAAATACAGAGCCCTGCCTACTTGTTCACTTGGAGGACCTTGAAAATCGTCATTTATCCGGTGTTCCAAAAACCAGACCACGAATGCCATGAAAAAGAAGAAACATGAAGCAGTCACCCATAGCTCCCATGTCAATGGCTTCAAGAATGTTAGTGCTCTGCTTCCCCTCTCCTTCCTCACTGGCACGATCATTGACACCCCAGACTCTGTGTAGGGTGGCGTCAAATCAACATAATTCGATCGGTTCGCGATGATTGTCACGTCACCCACAACAGCATCGTATTTCTGCTCAGCAGTAACTAATATATCAAAAAAAGAGGAAAACATAATGCGAAAGTGAAAAGGATTATTTTAAAGGATCATGTAGCACCAAGCAAACAGAAAAAAGAGGAAAACATAATGCAAAAGTGAAAAGGATTATTTCAAAGGATCATGTAGCACCAAGCAAAACAGAAAAAGAAAAGAAGAAACAAAAAAATAATGTGTTTTCGACATTTAGATCTAGGGTAATGCGCATATTAATCAATTTGTTGCCTAATTTAAAAAGTCGAATATGTGTTGGCTGTTTCACAATACAAAATTCTGAAAAATAGAAAAGAAAAAAAGAGAGGCAAACATGGCGAGTTGAACATGGAATGATAGCAAGTTTTCCATAAAAGAAAAATGTTTTTCGGGTAAATAACATTTGAAAATTAGATAATTTTAATGTTTAATAAAGTTTTTAATCTAATTTTTTTAATATATTATTTACCTAAAAAACTTTTGGGGAAATTCATCAAAATGCATGAAATATTTTTCCATGTCTTTTGATTTAGTTTAAAAATATCAACAAAATACACGTGTCCATGAGCTGTAATAGGTGACTGATAAAAAGTTTAGTAGTTGATAAGGTATACAATAAGATTATTTACAATTGATATAATAGATACAAGAGCAAATTTTCTATACTTCCCCTACAACATAGAAGTTCTATCTTTTTCTTTATCCAACCGTCCATTCTGAATGGAAGGCTAAGATTGTCCCAATCACAATATCACGTCTCTATATTATTTTATTTTTAATTTTTTTATAAGCTATTTTGATACCAAATTTTGGACGTCCATTCCTCTATTAAACTCGCACTAGTGAAAAATATATAAAAAAAAATTTCAATAAAATAAAATAATCAAAATACCCCCGAAAGATTCAAAGAGTATTTTGATCATTATATTTTCTCATAAAATTATTATAATATTTTTTATAGGTGCTCCCCAATGAGAAGATGGAACGTACCAAATTTCATATTCATACAACTTATATAAAAAAAACTAAACATAAAATACTTTGAGATGTCGGATCTAAAATCAAATGGTGAGTGGCTCTCTTGATCAAAATTGGACAGCTGGACGGTATAAAGCGGTCACAATTACTTATAACCATCCAATGTGAATATAATAGCTTGGGTGTACATAAAGTTGGAGAAATTTTATTTTACAATTTGAGCTTGGTCAATGAAATAAATGGACCCATCCAATTTCACATTCAATGGTCAAGATGACCCGTCTCATTGTATGCTTTTCCTCTAATAAATTTCCTAGGACTTTTTTTATTTCACGTCAAACTTGCTATCAACCCATGTTCATTTATTTTACTTAAAAATTTAGATTAAAGCGACGTGGTACGGTAGAGAGAAAAAGAAAGGAGAGAGAGAGAGGGACCAAACCATATTAAAGGAGACCCAGACCTGAATTCACCGGACACGAACTTGAAAATGTAGTGTGGGATCTGGCCCAGATTGGATCCCACCCAAAATTTAAAGGGAAAAGTTTTAATAAGGTTGCAACTTTAGAATGTAGAGGGAAAAGTTTTAATAAGGTTGCAACTTTAGAATGTAGAATCACATATGCACTTCAAAAATCTATCAGAAATGTTGTTTTAATATTGAAAAAACCCTATAATCGATCATCTCGATATCGAAATGTATGAATATGAACAAAAAGAGTTTTTTGAGTTCTGAAAATAGTGCATCTTGCAACACATTATATAGACAATTATATAGACATTTCATTTTCAAGATTTTCATATATTTATAGATCTACTTGATTTTAACCATTTTTAGATTTTAAAATTTTCTAATTAGGTATGAAAATAGATTTTAAGATAATACTAAGAATTTTTTACAATAAAATTACATGTTATGATAAAATTTTATGGTGCCCCTTAATTGGATTGTTTAAGGTTGCAACCTTATAGAAACCACACCCAAAATTAAAATATATATTTAACTATATTTAAATGTATTTTATACATTGGGGCCCGAAAAATACTACCGGACCCAAACCCATACCCGAACCCGAATCCGAATGGTATTTGGGTCCAAGATTTGGACTCAAACCCGATCTGTCAAGATTTAAACACATACCTAAACTCGAATTGGGTCTACCGCTCGAATCCGGGACTGGTCCAGTTCCAATGCCACCCCAAGCATCTATTTAATGAGTATAGAGAGAGCGAGAGAGAGAGAGAGAGAGAGAGCAACTATTTAATGAATGTGGAGAGAGTTGGCACACCATTGGAAGCAACAAAGAATCGAGTCCACAAAAAGACTTACCCCAAGAAAGACCTGGTAAACCAGCTCATTGTATGTCCCCGCTTTTTTCCTATGATCATCAGCAAAAGGAACGAACTCGTAATCGAGTCCGTAAGGCAACCCCTTCACAACCGCATGGAACACATCAACTGAAAACCCCGTAGTCGTCGGTCTCCCATCCAACGGTCCCCATTCCACGTTCACAAACTCCTTAAACCCCTTCTTAACCGGAACCCCAATCTTCATCTTGACCCCATTGGTGGGGAACACCCAACCCTTAGGGGTCACCGTCGATTCCCCCGGCCAGATCACTGGTCCCAAATTTTCCACGTCATTGCTCCTCCTATGGACCACTTTCCTGCTAATCTCCCTCGAAATTCCAGCTTCCGGGGACCAAAACCCAATTTCTCTCACACTTTTGTCCACAACGTTCACTATTTGAAAGGTTGAGCCTTGTATTTCACCGTTAACAAATCGGATAGTGCCGGTTAAGCCCTTGAGTTTAGTGTCTAATATGGCACTTAATAGCCGAGGGCCAACCGGGGAAATCCCTAAAGTCAACAAATCAGTCGAATTCGCGGTCATTTGTCCGGCAGTAGGTCGCAGGAAACCGACGGACCTACCGCCGGATTTCTCCACTGCCAAAGCCAAAACCCTAGTTGCATCATAGGCTCTTAAACAAAAGACATTGAAATGAGGGATGTCAATTTCATTTGGGTACTCTTTCCTGTAGTATCTCTTCCACCTAGTTGAGAACTTATCCAAACGCTGAGTCCCTTCAATGTAAGCTCTCACCCCTAAAACCCCTCGCATCGAGTCTATGGTCCACGGATCCATAGAATTCAACAAGTTTGTGAGCCCATCTGTTATGATCCAAGCATAGTCTCTACTCATCATGCCCAGTTGTTTAACCTGTCGAAAAAAGCGAGATGCAAGAGGATACGACATGTGGACTACGAAAACTCTAGTTTGCATGGTCATGACTTTGTAGAGCTCCTTTCTGATCAATTCATCACTTGCAACGGAGGGGAGAAGGGTTCTATGCTGAAGACGAGAGCCAATCTCTGAGAGAGCATCAGTCAGGTAAGGAATGAAGCCGGCTCCGTAATCCGTGTCTTCGTATACAACAATGGCTTGTCTCCATTTGTAGAATTTGATGAGAGAAGCAATGGGTTTGGCTTGGATTGAGTCACTGGGTATTGCTCTAATGAAATAGGGGGTGTGGGTTGAGGAGAGAGATGGAGAGGTTGCAGAGAAGGATATAACGGGGATTTGGGATTTGTTGGCAAGATCTGATAAAAATTGGGCTTCTGCTGAAGTTTGAGGCCCTATTATTGCTTGCACCTCTACGTTCTTGATGAGATCCAAAGCTGATAAAAAAATTACAAGGACTTTAAATGTCAAAATGAAAGAAACTCTACAACGCTGTCTCTCAACTGAAAATGATCACTGCGGAAAAGGGTTTGCCTTATTACAATCCCAACCATCCGATTTCAAATCTGATGGTTAGGAGTGATTGTGAAATTTTTATACTAAAGCTAACAGCGTTATTGTATACTTGGCAAAGAAAAATATAATAGAGCAGAAATTTCATCTTCTCCGAGAAAGATATCCTGTACATGCAATGTGTACCATCTGTCGCTCGAGACAGACGGTCGAGATGAGCTGCACCTCTGCTTGATAAACAATCACCGGCATTTAGGTAGAGGTGGGAATCATCTCCACCGTCCATTCTCAATGACATATGGTGGATGGGTGTGTTTTGTATAAAGCTCATTATTTTCCTTTCCCTTGCTCCAAAATGGAGGATTATGTATGTGAAGTGAAAGGGCATTTGAATGCTGCAACTGTACAGCTAAAAATCAAGGCTCAGGATGTACTTCTCGGGCTACAAAAGAAAAGATCAAAAAGAAGTGCTGAATTTTGTGTTCCATGCAAAACCTTTTGGGCGAGTCCGAGTAGCCTCGGCCGAGTCTCGAAACCATTATCTTGCTGTTTTCCCATTATTAGCCATTTGCTAGAGAGAGAGAGAGAGAAATGCCACATAATCTGCTAGAGAGAGAGAGAGAGAGGAGGGAGGAGAGAGAGAGAGAGCGTACCAGCTGAAGCTGCCTGCACAACGTCTCCGCCGGAATCTCTGGTAGAAAGATGCAGTCTACTGGTGAAGTTGGGGTTGTCCCTGTAGAAATCTTGAAGGGCTATGCTTATGCACATATTGCTCGCTCTTCCAACCAATGAACCCATAGCCAAAACCACCCCTATTTTAACAACTCCATTTCCATTTGCTTCTTCATTTTCATCTGCAAAGCCTTGGTGTAAGAAGACCATGAAAACGCAGACAAAAAATGAACCCTTCATTTTTTCACTCAATTCCTTGGTTTCCCCCTTTTCTTATACATGAAAGGAAATGGGAATGGAACTCTTTTTTCTTTTCGTCGACAAATATCTCTTAGCCATACGTTTGATGGAATTTTTTTTTGGCTGTTTCGAGGGTCCTTCCCAACAGCTTTTGTGATTTATGATCTGATGCTCTTGCAGGAAAATACTGTACATTAACTCCATCTAACAAAAGAGCTATGTAAATTATTATTTTTTAGGGAAAATATCTCCATGCCCTCTATTTTTAGCTTTCATTTCACAATAGATCATTTTAAAAGATATCTTGGGATATAAAAATTGCAGATTTTATTTCTTCTAACCTTTGGGCTAATTTAAAACCTTTTTTAGGCCAAATAAATCTAAAAAAAACATATCTTTTCTAAAAGCTATCTTCTTAAATTTCTAGAGAGAGAAGGGTTTCATGAAGGTGAGAGGTTACTTGGAGGAGAGAGAGGTGTTTGGAAAACACGGGAGGTGAGAGAGACGTAGGAAGAGAGAGAAACAGAGAAGTTTGAGGTATATAAGTAAAGAGAGAAAAATGATTGGGGTTTAAAAATAACATATATTTATCATATTTGTTTAGGTTAACACATAGGTTTAAAGTGGCCTTGCTGGTAGAATATATTTTTTGAAATTTTGAGTTTATCAAGAAATGAAACAAAAAAAATAGGAGATATGGAGATATTTTTTTTATTTTTATCTTAAATTTTGATATGTATCTAAAAACTATATATATATATATATATATATATATATATCTTTTTTTTAAAAAAAAAAATTAATTTTGAGTTTTTGAACACAGATCTTGCCCTCCAAAAATTAAAACACGGTTATTTTTAATCCTTCGACATTATTTTTTCAAGGTCCCAAAAAGTGCTCCTACTCAATTTTTACCAGGATGATTTGCTCCGGCGAGACAACAAATCCTTTTATTTTATAATATCTTTGGTCTTAACTTTGTAAAGTGGCAATGAACGCCACCCATTCAAAGAACTGGAAGTGTACGGCGAAATGCCATTGCACCAGTTTGACTTCATATCAGCTCTTCAAATTAAATGAATTCCTATAAAATGTCCCTTATATTTGTAAAAATGGCCCTCATGTCCCTTGTTTTATGTGGCCTTATTATGAAAACAAAATAAAACCTCATCTCAAATCCTCATCCATAGCACAAAATTTGAAACTAAAAAAATGATATAAATTTTGTGGATTTTTAAAAATTTGTTTTAAGGTAAAATGGACGGTCTAAATAATTTATTACACATACTATTTTTAAAGCTTGAAATCCTATTTTTCTTTTCACAACCATAATATTCAAGCGGAGATGATTGAAGTAAAGGTTTTCTTGAATTATAATTTTTTGATAAATTATGAGGTGAGGCTTTACAAAATTGAGGCTGTCCTATTAAACTATTTTTTTAAAAAAAATCTTATTAAATTTTTTGTACTTACATTCTTATTAATTTTTTTCTAGTTACGAGGTTGCTCCCTCAAATTTCTGAAAATTGCTCTCATGGCCATGTACTCTAGTGCTGAATGTCGACGAATTTGGTTTGTACATATTTATTTGTTTCTCGCACTTGAAGATTTCCACGTTCAATGAAGGGTTTGCTTAGTCATGAGGTAACGACTCAGGTCTGGGTCTAAATGACCTAGATTCTGACACCCGTATTGGGACATCCTAGACCTTATTAGGTCGGGATGAGAGGGTGGGTTGAGTTTGAGACCAATGACTTGGAATCAACATGGGTTCAAGTCATGTCTGGTTCCGGCTCGGGTCAAATCCCGGTTGGGGTTGATCCTGATCTAACCCGATCGATTAACACCCCTACATCGGATCTGGTAATTATGAAGAATTGCAATGGTGCTTTGCTAGGAGAAAAGAAACTCTCTATTTACAATAAGGACCTATTTAAATAATTGAAAAGTAATTTCCAAAATAAATTGTCTACAAATGAGGCATTTCTAGTTGTTTGACATCCCAACTGGGGAGAAATATTTTTGTTGTCCTTGTTTGTACTTCATTTTTAGGAAAAAGATATTTAAAATAAATTTGCAAAAAATATACTCTTTCAAACTGAATCTTGATCATTTCCGATCATCTCTGTATCCTCCAACCCCATGTCCTATCCCTTTGTCCCATGAATCCTCGATGGTCTTTGTCCTTGGAAATTGGCCAAGGATTGGGTCCGGGTAATTAGTAAACTGGTTGGTTCGTTCGGCCTAACTGGGCAGGTCCTAGCCAGTCCAAAAAGCATTGGAGAAATAAAATATAAAACAAATCTAAAAAAATATGAAAAATATATTTAAAACATAATTAAATAAAGCACATCCAAATGAGAAGAAAGCTAGTTAGAACAATGGTCTCTAAAAAATCAATTTGTGCCCAAGGTATAATAAAAATAGTCCAAAAAGAAGAAAAAATTGTAAAACTAAATATTCATGGCCAAAACACATTCCAATCTTTGTCAAAATGATAAAAAAAATAAAACATTCAACAATACATTACAAACAAATCCTTTATTTTTTGAAGTTATATATATATATATATTAATTTATTTCTAAAATAACCTGCCGGACTACCTAAACCGGCCAAAACCAGATCTGCTGGTGCTCAGTTCCGGAATGGCCTGTTGGTTCTGAGATGGACTGGCCGACTCTGCAAACAATGAGTCAAATAAGCTTAAGGAAAGAAAAATCATAAGATGCAAGGATTTGGAAAAGACTTCCATGCTGAAGGGAAGAAAGTTAATAGGAGCAAATATGTCTTGAAAGGAAGAGGGACCTCTCTATTTGAAAGGAGGAAAAAGAGAAAAAGAGGAGGGGAATTCATTTGTTTATTTATTAACTTTAAGGCCTTTAGAGCTGGCAACGGGCCTTGGCAGAGGCCCGGCCCTAGCCCAGACCCGGTCATGTTTTCTATAGGACCGGCCCAGACTGGATTGGGCTAAGGAGGCCCAGGCCCATGCCTGGCCCTAACTCTATTCTGGTCGGGCCATGCTAGATGTATATTAAAAATAACAAAAAAAAGAAAAAAAAAGAGGACTAGGCCATGCCGAATTGGGTTGGCCTTGTCGGGGCGCTGGCCCAGGTTTGACGGCGCCCAATCCATGGGCCACATTTTGTGACCCACGCTCTAATAATTGTAGGGCCAGACAACTGGGTCGGATGGACCCACGATGCGACCCTTAATTTAGTTTTTAGAAGGTAGGTAACTTCCTTGACCAACAAGGGGCCCAAAAAGCCATAATTAGATATTTCTATTTTTCGTTCATGGGTAGTTTCACGCATCTCTCTCATAAAAATGAGGACGGCTTTTACACATCTCTCTCTCTGCGGGCCTTTTTAACACTGAAAAGTATAGGAACCAAGATAAGGACATAGACATAGACAGGTCCTTGATGCAAGCTATAAATGAACAAAATCAAACATGTCACTGTTCTAATTAGCAAAATTCTTCTTAAAAGAGCAATTGCCATTTTTGTTTCTCCTTCTTTGTCAGTTATGTGAGACTCGGCTCGACTCGCTTGAGTTACTGGGTCACATCACCTTGTTTAGGCGAGTTTAATTAACAAACTCAAACTTATCTAAAGCTCCTTGAAATTAAAAATTTTGTCACTAAATCGCTATTAAATAATTAAATGAATTACAAATATGTTTCTATATAACTGTTATATCCTTTATGATTGTTTGTGAACGTTTTATTATAGACTCTATTTTTCTATTTTTCTCTTTTTTGGGATTTTCTGAATTGGTTCACGACTTCACGCTATAAATCGATAATTCCATTATGGATGTCCTATATAAATTTTTCCATCTTTTGTAAATTTATGCTGTTTATAGCTTCTTTTGTCTTTTTACTTATTTTTAATTATTTTAAACAAAAGTTTTTTTATTTTTTTTGTCTGGAATTTTGATCCCCTTTTGGGCTAGTCCATGAATCAAGCAGTGGTCGAGTCTTGAGCCAGACCTGAGTTTTTGCACATTTTGTTTATCGATTTTTCTTTCTTTTTATTCTTTGTAAATTTTAATTCCTTCCAAAATGATATTTGAAGTTGTGCATAGCTTTGCAAAGTTTGCCAAACATGCGTAAGAAATAACACGCATTGAAAATGAGAAGGATGGGCGCCTTTAGAAAAGATGGGTGAATATATTAAAAATTTCCATGGAACTTGGGCAAGCTTTCTATATTTTTTCTACAACATAGAAGTTCTATCCTCCCTTTTATCAACCGTCGATCCTGAATGGAGAGCTAAGATTGTCTCATTCACAATGTCACGTCTCTTTTATTTTTAATTTTTTTTTTCTATAGACTATTTTGACGCCAAAATTTGGACGTCCTTTCCTCTATTAAACTCGCACTAGCAAAAAATATATATAAAAAAATATTTTCAATAAAATAAAATGACCAAAATACCCCTGAAATTTTTAAAGGCTATTGTGGTCATTATATTTTATAGAAAAATTATTTTTAATATTTTTTATAGGTGCGTCGCAATGAGAAGATGGCACATATCAAATTTTATAATCGTACAATTTGTATATAAAAAAAATAAAATCCTTTGAGACGTCGGATCTAAGATTAAATGATGAGTGGCTCTCCTGATCAAAATTGGACGGCTGGATGGTAGAGGGAGGATAGAACTTTTTTGCTGTGGGGGAAGCATAGAAACCTTTCCCATGGAACTATAATGTATATTTATATCTCAAAGGATTTTTTAGTTTGGAAATTTGGGAACAACCTAAAAATCACTAGACATCATTTTCAAATGAAAAAAAATTTGAATTCAGAGTTTTTTTTGACACTTAGATCATACCCTTCAAGAATTCGACTGTCTCTGTTCGATCCTGATATATTATTATTATTACTATTACATAGCGAGTTTAATTCAAAAGTATTTTTTAACTGAGATTAGCCTGTGGATTGAAGAGATAACATCCCCAAAATTTGTTGTCCCAAAATTACTCCTATTTTAGGTTTTACTAAGGAGGAAATGGACAGTATACTCCCATGGGAGTATAAAATCTTTTGGCTTTCAGGAGGTG